CACATGACGTTGCTCAACGTATCGTGACTTTTTCCCCATTGCCGGCAATGGGTTGGGTGCGGTTTCATTGTGATGCATCCGGCCTACAGGCGGCAGTTTGACATGCCTGTGATAGGTTGTCACCTGATTGCTTTATTGTTACAACAACAAATCTAATATTTTTATGCAACTAAGCAAGTTTTCTTTAAAAATTAATTAATGCATAGTATATTGTAATATTGTAATGGAAAACTTGGAAAGCAAATTCTACATAAGAAAATATTTTAAGGAATTGCATATTATGCTTTTCAGTGGAAGTTATTCCAGAAACAAAAGTTAAATCTTTAGTTAATATACAGTATATTTCAGATTTACATATTCTTCAATTGTGCTGCCAAAATTCTTTTAATAAACTCTTAATTTAAATAATTTATTTAAATATGAAGAAAGTCCCCAAATAACTATGAAACATTTGTATAAAATACTCTGTATAACTCTAAAATACTTAGGTATATTAATGTTTATTTATATGTACAAATATGGTAAAATATTATCTATAAATTCATTGTTGGAATAGAGTCCTGCTATGTGCATGCCTGCCAGTAAGTGCTGTGATTTATCCAGGTGTACATTCTCATTTAACTCTAGTTATATACATATGTGCAAATCTGTTCAACATTATAAAGTATAAGCCTATGGTATCCAAGCATTTATTTTCCTAGGTTAACAATTGATCAGAGAGTATAAGAAAAATAAAAATAAAGTTGTCTGTTGCCATTTGACCAAGTTTATGCATTCACTTTGAATGAAATGTATAAATCATTCGTGACCTGTTTGTATTCTTAAAATTTAGCACCACCATCTTGTGACATCTATGGCAGTTCATAAAATCAACACTGAACAATACTATTTATGGAATGACAGGAAATTGAATGGAGGGGAAATATTTTGCAAAGAATACGCAGGCTATTTAGATAAATACATCTCTTTTCAGAGGCATTTAATGAAACAGCTTCTACCTATGTCAGTGTGTCAGTTGAGTTGCTATTGATTTTTAATGCAACATATTTTAGATAATTCGATTTGTTCTATAGTAGTTACATTCTGAATTTGGAAACATTTTAAAGCTCTCTTTTCTTAATATGTTTCTATAGTATCTGAATATATGGAGAACTGAACTGGTAATAGTACAATAACTGTTTTAATCCATTTCTTTTTTAATATGGCAAAAATGTCTTTACTAATAACATGTAACTCTAAAGTTATAAATATTCAAAATAGCATTATTAAATTAACTGTTCCACCGGATAATTGTTCTCACTGTTAGGAAATTTATCTTTAATTCCAGGTTGCTTCTCTCCTTGATTAGTTTCCATCCATTGTTCTTCTCTTGCCTTCTGGTACTTTGGAAAATAAGTTGACCGCATCTTCTTTGTGGCAGCCCCTCAAATACTGGAATACTGCTATCATGTTATCCCTAGTCTCTAGACTGGCCATGTCCAATTCCTTCAACCATTATTCATATGTTTTAGTCTTTAGGTCTTTAATCATCTTAGTTGCTCTTCTTTGCACTTTTTCCAAAGCCTCAATATCATTTTTGTAATGTGGTGAACAAAACTAGTTGCAGTATTCCAGGTGTGGTCTTACTAAAGATTTATAAAGTAGTACTAATACTTCACAAGATTTTGATCCTATGCCTGTTTATACAACCAAGGATTGTGTTAGCTTTTTTGGCTGCTAGATTATTTGTGTGGGTATCGGAAAGCAAATGAAAGAATACATGTTTGTGCATAAAAGAGAAACAACCAGCTAAGGAGCAAGCATATCTACTGTATTGTAAGGCTACATTAATTGAATCTTGCAAGTCTGAAAGTGAAAAATCTCCCGCTGTCTCTCTTTACTGCCTGATAAGTTAGATCAGATCCTTTCAAAGTTTCTATCTCTACCCATTATTTAGCTGCAAACTTCCCCACCTTTTATCTGATTGCTTCCTAAGCTGCATTTCTTCCCTTTGTCTTAGTATGCAAATGCACAATGCACAGATACAGTACCTCCCACAATAATTGGAGCTATGAGAGTGATCTTGGAGTCCTAGTGGACAGTCACTTAAATATGAGCCAGCAGTGTGCTGCAGCTGCCAAAAATGCAGTTCTAGGCTGCATTAACAGAAGGATAGAATCAAGATCATGTGAAATGTTAACATCACTTTACAATGCCTTGGTAAGGCCACACTTGGAATGCTATATCCAGTTTTGACCAGCACAATATAAAAAAGATATTGAGACTCTAGAAAGAGCACAGAGAAGAGCAATAAAGATGATTAGGGGACTGGAGGCTAAAACATATAAAGAACGGTTGCTGAAAATGGGTATGTCTAATTTAATGAAAAGAAGGACTAGGGGGACTAGCAGTGTTCCAATATCTCAGGACTTGCCACAAAGATGAGGAAATCAAGCTATTCTTCAAAGCACCTGAGGGTATGAAAAGAAGCAATGGATGGAAACTAATCAAGGAGAGAAGCAGCCTAGAACTAAAGAAAAACTTCCTGACAGTTAGAACAATTAATCACTGGAACAACCTGCCTCTAGAAGTTGTGAATGCTCCAACACTGGAAGATTTTAAGAAGAGATTGGACAACCATTTGTCTGAAATGGTATAGGGTTTCATGCCTAAGCAGGGTGTTGGATTAGGAGACCTCTAAGGTCCCTTCCAACTCTATTATTCTATGACTTCTATGTCTTCTCCCAAAGTTTTTCTCATATATCATTATACTGTGTGAATTCAACTTAAAACTAGATAAACATTATTATACTACTTAACCTACACCATACTGTTTTCCTAATTTATGTAAAAACGTTGATTGTAGTAAGAGCTGATTTTTTTGCTTGTTAAATTATTATTTTCCTATTTTTATAGTTGTGTCATAATTTATTTTTGAGTTATTAATACCGATCCCCTCTTAGGGATATTGAAAAGGTATAATTAGATATTATTCAACTTTCATGATATTTCTGTAAATGCAATTACATTATATATTATATTGTATATTGTATAATCATTAAATTTGTTGAAAAATTGATTATGTGCCATTAAGTAGTGACTATGTACAATTTTTCTCCATGAGAAAACTTATTCTTTCAGTTTTCCCATTGTCATTGTAACTGAGTCCATCCACTCTTTTGCTGGTTGTTCTCTTTTTCTCTTTCCTTCTACTTTCCCACCATTAGAACTTTCTCCAGAGAGTTTGGTTTTCACATTATGTGTCAGATATGCAATAATTTGAGCCTAGTCATTTATACCTCAAATGAGAACTCTGGGTTGATTTGTTCAATGATCCATTTGTTTATTTTCTCAGTTGTTCATGGTGTTCTCAGGAATCTTCTCCAACACCAAATTTCAAAAGCATTAATACTTTTCTTATACTGCTTCTTCAAAGTCCAACTTTCACTTCCATAGAGTATCACAGGCCATACCATGGCTTGCACTGTTCTGATTCTTATAGTCTTAGACATATCACAGCATCAAGATTAGTCTACCAACTGATAAGGCATATTTGTTGACAGACATTATCTACCTCATTGTGTCTTCATTGTCAATTCTAAAGCTGCTTTTTGTACCTGCTGTCCTTAGTTTAATAATTTTAATATTTAATTTTAGTTCAATTTTTTCACTGTGCTCCTTGATTGTGCTTCTTTAATTGAAAAAATATTATGGAAAAATTACCGGCTAAATTTACACACAGCACACTCCCAGTTTATCCTCTATATCCAGATTAGAGAAAGCACACACCCAATTAGCTCAGCTACTGTAACAATACAAAACATAGCTTGATGTTTATTTATTGTGTATGTGTGTTCTTTTGAATCAGCTTTGACTCCTGGTAACTGTCTGGATAAGTCCTTACAGTTTTCGTGGCAATATATATGATGTGAGGGTGAAGGTTCATTCTCCGAGCGAATGTTTTGTTACCAGGCTAGGTAACATCTTCAGCAGAATTTAGGGCAGGGGTCCCCAACCTCTGGGCCATGGACCAGTACCAGGCCATGGAATGCCAGCAACTGATCAGCACAAACAAGGAAAACCCCATCCTCAGGATGCAGGTAGCACACAAAACCACACCCCCTTTGGTCCGTGGAAAAACCTCTCTCCACATAACTAGTCCCTGGTGCCCAAAAGTTTGGGGACCTTTGATTTAGGGGATGTCAGTGTCAGTGTTCTTCTGTTTATAAGGGCTTTGTGTGGTCAGTGAGTCAATATTCACCATTATTGCATATATATGATGTAATTGGAGAAAGGTGGTCTTCGGATAATGCCATGCCATGAAGGGCTTTAAAGGTTAAAACCAACACCTTGAATTGGACCTAGAAGCAGACTGTCACTCAAGGCCCAAATGACAGGCTCAAATTTTCTTACTTTGGATACATTATGTGAAGACTCAGCTTTAATGCTCTAATGCTAGGAAAAGCAAAAGGAAGTAGTGGAAGAGGATGACAAACCACAACTGCAGGATGGACTCAGTTGCAGTAAAAATGAATGTACAGTTACAAGACTTAAAACCACAAGTTAGGGGAAAACTTCATGGAAAAAAGCTATGTGGTCACAAGGAGTTGAAAAGAGCTTAATGGCAGATAATCAATCACAAAACAATCATATACCTTTATGGAATATTCACAATTAATAGAATTTATTGAGCTCAACATTTGAAACAATGAGCTATTGATCCAATCAATTTTCTTATGCTATGCCATTGAAGTTGTTTGGCTTTGAGGGACAAGCAAAGTGTACTTTTCTATGTGAATTTCAATTATTTTACATGCCAGAGTTTCTTACTTCTTTACAGTGATTTCTGCACAAAACAAAAAGACACCAAGAAAGAACAAAAAAGGCAGAAGGTTATGTACCATAATTCATTTTTTTTCTTTCCTTCATCATAGTGTTTAATGCAACCCATTTTTTTAGAGACACTCGTTCTTTTAGAGAAGCATTGAATTGACCGAAGTATACTTTTCTGATTCTAATAGGTCATAAAGCTTGCTTTTGAAGAATTTGAGCTGGAAAGAGGATATGACACTCTTACAGTAGGAGATGCTGGCAAAGTGGGAGATACAAGAACAGTTTTATATGTGTAAGTGCATTGCATTATTCATTGGAAATTCTATTTTGTTTCTTTTTCTAATTCCTTAGATTACATAGGCAATGCTTTTTGTCCCAATTGTATTATCAGTGAGTTAGAACATTTCTGTAGATTCAATAGAAGCTTTGCAAAATTACAAGTACTCTCAATACTTTTTATCTTTATAACAATCAAAATGTGAATGGAGATTATGGCCATTCACGTCACGTGACATCGCGCGTTTGACACCCCTGTTCTATAGAAGAAAAAAAAAACAGTGTTACTGCTTTGTCCACCTATACAAGTATTGACAAATTCACAGGTTTCTAAGATAAGTTGACTCTTTTCACATATAATTAGTTTCTGATTTACAGTTCTAAAATTAATTGATAGTTCTAATTCTAGAATAGATTTGAAATTCAAGGTTAAAAGTTAAAGACTGTTGTACATATACAACAGTATATGTACAACAGTCTTGTAAAATTAGTCATATCCTGTCTGAATTACTGCAATGCGCTGTACACGGGAATGCCCTTGAAAACCATCTGGAAGGTGCTGCTGATTCAGAATGCAATGGCATGTGCAATTTTGGGTGCCCCATGGTTCAACCAAGTACCTCACTGCTTTACTGGCTTCCAGTTGCCTTCTTGGTACAGTTCAAAATGATGGTTATTACCTTTAAAGTCCCAGGTGGTGCATGGCCAAGTTACTTGTAAGACCACCATTCCCTGAGAGTATCTGCTCATCCTAATAGATTAGATAGGGTGGATGCATTCTAAGTCTCTTCCCTTAAATGTTGCTCTCTGATGGGACCTTGGAGGTTCACCTTCTCAGTGGCCACCCTATCCCTAGCCACCCATCACCTACCATCTGGGAGCATAGGAATCTCTATCCTTTCAGCCTTCCAGAGGGTTATGAAGATTTGGTTCTTCCCCCAAACTTTGGGCTAGGATGGGGGTTGAGCTGTGAGGGTGTTGGGTCACCAGGGAGGAAGGGTGCCTTTGTTTTTAACTACGTGTTATGGATTTTTCTGAGCCACCTACAGTCACTGTATGAAATAGATGGCCATATAAGTCCTGTACATAAATAAATACCGTAAGTGAAACTGTGTATGGTTCAATTCTATTGTTTTTCTGCAGTCTGACAGGCTCCAGCGTTCCTGATCTTATTGTAAGCATGAGCAACCAGATGTGGCTCCATTTACAGTCAGATGACAGCATTGGCTCACTAGGATTCAAAGCTGTTTATCAAGGTATGTTTCCTGTTCAAAACACCACAGAATTCTAAACTAGGAAATATGATAGTTTGAGTCAAGGTTTTTAAATGAATTTACTGAAAACTTAGAAAGTATGAAATACTTTTTTCCATCTTTTGAAAGTGAATTATATCACTAAATACATTCTGCAATCATATAGAAACTCTTCATGAAGAGAGACTCCAATGCTTCAGAATATAGTCATTTTTGTGGGCTATTAATAATATCTACTCAATTAATTATACTATTTGGATTATCCTTTTCTGTATATGGAATTACTTGACAAACAAAATATTTTTAAGCATGTATTGGCTTGCTATTTTTTTTTTTATTTGAGCCATCAAGTTTAAAGCTGAATTCATTAGTTGATGTATATTAATTTACATATTTTTTTGTTTTTGTTTTTAATAAGTATTTTTAATCAATATTGGCCTTGATAATAGATGGGAACCTGCTTTCTCTCTGTTTGTGTGTGTGTTTGCATTGTGTGTGTGTGTTGTGTGATTGTTTGTGTGTGTGTGTGTGTATGAGAGAGAGAGAGAGGGAGAGAGAGAGAGAGATCTGCTATACATCCTTTATCTTGTTCCTGATGTAAAAGATAAAGTAGTATAGTAGGCATAGTTATATGAAGCCTGGGACTATGAAGCCATACGCTATATTAACATTTCATAAATTATCAGAGGAAGAAAAAAAAAGCTTTTTTTCTCCCTCTGATAATTTATGAGATGTTAATATAGCGTATGGCTTCATAGTCCCTGGTAAAAGTTTTTTTTTTTCACAGTATGCACAAATAAGCTTTCCGTAAACTGTAATGCAATATTTGCATCTAAGAAGAAGCAAAAATATATTATGCGATAGAATTTCAGGCTCTTTTGTCAATAGAAGTCTTTTTGAACTGTCAAATTCTAATTCTATGGCACCTGATGATAAAATGTATTTCTCTAAATCATATTTTGTATAATTTGCCATAGCTATTTAAGTAACAGCAGGGAGTAAATTAAAGTAGATTTCCTTCGTGCTGTGCTGCTGGATCACAAAAAATGAGGCTATTTTTAGAGGCACATTGAACATACGCTTTGCGTAAGATGGCTCATGTTTGCAACATTTGCACACACATTCATCTTTGACACTAGAATGAGTTTTATTATATTTAGCACTATCAATTTCACAGATTATAATAAGAATAATCAGAATAATCTTCTTATCTAGAAAAAATATGTTTAAGATTTTGAGCTCTAGAACATCTAAAAAAATTCAGAACAATAATATGTGATAGATGATGTCCTGCTAAATTATACAATGAAGGAAAAGTTAGAAAACTGATGTGAACATGTATTGGGTAATTGAAATAAAGTTTATTTTTTTCCTATTACAATCTATTATAACCAAGAAGTATTTATTTTTTAAATAATATTGATCTGAAATATGAACTAATGAGAATGAAGATTTAGATAGTTTTAGATTGGACCATTGTTTAATTTAGTTAATCAATACATCTTTTAAAAATTCTATTAATGAATTGCTGGGATAAATAAAAATGTTTTAATGATCAATGCCCCATCCTGAGAAACATTTTTATTGTATTATGGTTATGTCTAGCCTTGTCCAGCAAATCTTTGTGAAGTATAATAATGTAATAGCAAAGTAGGTTCAACATAGTCTTGTTAAAATTAAGAGAAAAACTAGTAATAGAAAAAATACCTCAACATAATACTTCTCATTTTTATGATATTTAAAATATGTTGAAATCAAAATTTAGTTTTATGTTGCTGTTATTCAACTATAATTTTGTATGAATACATGGTATAAATAAGTTACATGGAAAAAGTCACATGTACAACATTTTAGCTTCCCTTTCTTTTCTAGCAGAGAATAGCATAATTCAAAGAAGAATAAATAATATTTTGGATCAAGAGCAGCATAAACATTTGTGCAATGTGCTGAAAGCCACATTTAAAGAACTAAGCAGGGTGGAACAGTAAATGTCCGAATGTCCAAAATGAGGAAAATGGGTATTGCATATTCATGTGTGCACACCTTCACTAATAGAGTTGGAAGCATATAAATTCACTCCCAGTATAGCCATGTTTTTAACCATGATGAAGTGTCTTCCCCTTAAAATATAAGTTAAAGAGTTGAAAATCACTTCTGATTGACTGGTTATATGTCATGATCGCTTAGCAAACACATAGGGTTGTTTTGTTTTTTTTTTCTCCCTCCAGGACAAACTGTTCTCAACCTGATCCTTCAGGTCTTCCAATAGTACATCTATCCCAATTTATTGAATCCCTCCACCTTTTCTGGGCTGGCATTGCTGGATGCCGACCAATCCACAGATTAATAAATTCAGGCAGAATTTTCAGAAGCTGTGCCCTTTTTTACCTATAACTAAAGACGGCAACTGCAACATAGTCAAGGGTTGGCATGATGAGAACAGGTATCCAATTAACAAATAACAAATTCAAGGGAAAACATAAGAGACACAGTGGAGTACAATTCAGAGTTCAAAGCCCAGTGTGACAAGGTTAAGAACAACGAAGCTGAAGCTTGGAAAATCGTTCTCAGTGTTTTCTCTTAGAGGAGGAGGCCAATAAATAAACCAGGCTGAGGTATCACTTGAGATGTGCAGCTGATGTACATTACTCATTGGAGTCTATTCTCTTAACAGCCTGCTTTATGAATTGAGAATCCAATTTGGGACTATTGCTGTCAGAACTTTGTATGAAACAGCAAAGTCTGAGATGTTTTGGTAGAGGAGGGGGTAATGACATTATTCAAGATCACGAAAAAGGGATAATTGGATCAAATATTTTAAAACTAAGTGTACTAGAAGATGAAGTAAAATTAGCTCTCTGGGCATTATCAAGTTAGAAAATTGCAGGAAGTGATGGAATATGTAGAAATAAGGCAAGCAACAGAAGTAGTAATAAAAAAGGTCCTAAGCAAAACATGCCATCAGATCTGGAAAACAACACAAATCAGAAAGGTCCAAAGAAGTCTCCAAAGAAAAGAGACTTAACACAATGTATAGATTATCATGCAATATCCTAAAGTTATCACACTAACAAAATAAAGCTTAGGACCATCCAATATAGATTAAATCCCTATATTCAGGAAAAAGATGCCAGGTGTTTGAGCTGATTTTAGAAAGGTCCATGGCACAAGTAATATTGCTGATGCACACAGGATAATTGAGGAAGTCAAAAAATGCCAAAGAGAAGTTAATATGTGTGCTATTAATTAGACAAAGAACTTTAGAAATATCAATCATGTCAAGCATAAAATGTCCTTAGGAAAATTTGAATCCCAGAACATCACATTGTCTTTATGCAAAAAATATACCCAGGTCAGGAAAAGACTGGCTCCAAGTCAGCAAAGGAGTGAGACCCCCTATTCATTCAGTCTACTACATGCTAAATATGTACTGAGAAGCTGGACTGGAAAAAGCTGAGTGTGGTTTAAAGTTGGAAGAAAAAATATTCACAACTTGCATTATGTTGATGATTATACTTTGATAGCTGAAAATGCAAACAATTTACAATTCTAATAATGAAAGCCAAGGAGCACAGTGAAAAACAATGGGCCTAAGATTTCAATATGCAAAACACAAAGCTAATAACAAGTATAGAAACCAGCTGTAGAAATAACAATGAACATTTTGAAGTGGTGATAGTTGTTGAACAGTAAAGGAAGAAGCAATCAAGAAATATATGACAAATTTGTACAGATACTAATAAAGGTCTTGGAAATGATATTTAAACACCATGACCTGTCTATACCTAAAAAGATCAGAATTATGCAGACACTGATTTTCCCTATGATGCTCTATGGAAACTCTATGGAAAACATGGACATTAAAAGTAGTTTAGGAAATGTATTGAAGCTTTTGAACTTTGCTATTAAAGAAGATTTTTGAGAATTTCATGAGTGAACAATAAAATAAACAAATGGCTCATAGAACAAATCAATGTAGACTTCTCACTTGAAGTAAATGACCCTTCTCATTTTTATGCTAATGCAAAGTATTGAGAAATTTAACATGATGGATACGAGATGGAAAGCAAATACATTTTCTAAATAAATAATTAAAGTAAATTATTAAACTAAATTATTAAATTTAAATTAAATAAGATAGAAGAAAAGATAAGAAGAATATAACCAGTACGAAGGTAGAAGGACTTGCTTGCAGTGATGAGGGGTGTACTGTTGAAAGACCCAAAGTGCCAGATTGTGATTAGATAATCCTGGAGAAGTTTTATCTATGTAGTTGCTAAATAACACACTTGGCATTGACAAAATCCCCAAAAGTTAATTGCAAAAGGCAGCTTTACTTGGAACAGCTTAAATCCTGCAACACCATCAAACAACTTGGGAAGAACTTGATAGGTAGATAAAGATGCCAGATCCAGTCTAAACATCTGGCTAACTATGAGATAAAGAATGATTACTAATGTAAGCCTTTCAGACAACTAGTTTAAACTTTCTTGAAAATGACAAAACCATAGCAATCAGTGTGATAAGAAGATCAAATACTTAAAATAAATAGTTAAAAATATGAATTGCAGTATCCACATTGCCATTTCATTTTATAACAGATTTTGAGAGACTCATATAGATTTGATCACTGACATTTCATTTATGCTTGATTTTAGATGTCAGTCTTTACAGTTTCTTTTTTGCTACAATCTAAAAAAAATCTGGTTTACCTATCACTTCAACCAGGTTAATTGCTTGACATCAAGGCAATTTAATTTTAGTCCATTAGACATGAGGTCTACTGCTAATTAAAATTTAATTAAAAGTGTATCTATTTCTATAAGATGATATAAATAGGTTGTCAGTTCAACAGTTCACAAGAAAGGAAGGAATGAATGGTTAGAAATCAGCTACTTATCCTAACTTTTTTTTTTTTTTTGCAAAGGATCAGAAAAACTTATGACTGGTTACCACACACTTTAAGCACAAAGGAACATTTGATGTATTATACTAGTATAAGG